TAAAGATTAGGACTGAAATGAAGTAAAAATAATGAACTTCTCCGGGATAATCAAGCTAAACAAACGGGCCTACTGTGTGCTATTCCTTCTCGCTGTCGTATTTGTGTATTTGCAATTTTTCAAAGCAGCAACCAGCGAAAATGTTAGCTTGTTTTATATGCTGGAAGTTGCGATTCACGCGGCCCAAGCCGGCGGCAGCCTGGTAGTTTCAACGCGAAACAATCTAAAGATCCATTCGAAAGGCAAAACGGCCGAAGGAAAAGATGATAGCGTAACAAGTGCAGACTATTTCAGCCACTGTGCCATGCTCGGCATCATAACAAGGGCTTTGCCCCAAGTGACGCTAATTTCTGAGGAAAACGGCATTAATTGTAAAAAGGAATCGGCAGCCCAAACGTACAATCAACCATTAAATCTGCAGTTTGATTATCCAGCGGCGTATGTAGAGGCAAGCGACGTTACAATATGGATAGATCCTTTGGATGCTACCGTGGAATATACAGGTAGATTTTAATATTGGTGGAGGCTTTGCGTTGTCTGTTGCGTTAGTCTAAAGAACGGGAGTTCAAGCGTTGGTTCACGATGCAATAACCGGTTCAAAATGCATCAAAACTCCGATTGATTGAAGATTCACTGCACCAATCAATTCCACAATTTCTACTTTTCTCAATAGACCTTCCATCTAGAAGCATATCAGAAGTCAACAGAACAACGTTTGCATGTTTAGCTTCAACCGAAAGCGGGCGTATAAAAGGGCCTCATTCAGAGGCCCCTGAACCCAGAATTTAAACTTTCTTAGCAATAATTTAAAGGTGTTTAAGCCTGATCTATTTGCAGAAAAGTTGTATCAATACGTGACCACGATGGTGTGTGTGGCCGTAAACGGTAAGCCGATTATTGGGGTAATCCATCAACCGTTCAATGAGTCAACTTCTTGGGCTGTGGTGGGTTTTGGACATTCGGCCAATCTTAACGAGAAGGTAATAAGGCTGTTAATTTTCTGCTCTGTTTAATAGAACAGAAAAAGTATGAGAAGTGCCTATAATTTATTGTCATTCTGTGGAGCCCCTAGGAAACTGCCAATACTATTTTCTGTTTTATTCAACCCTGGGGCTGCTCTAAGCCTTGCTCAATTTGTAGGTACATGGGACGGATTCGAACTTGCCAAAAATCATCATATCACGGTCACACAGTGGAACTATAGAGCAAACATTGAAAACAAAGTTTAAGGATTTTAAACTGATAGTTGCCGCTGGCGCAGGCAAGTCCACAATTGTGTTTTTAGCATACACCGGGTCCGAAGCGTGAAAGGAAAAACTGTGAACTAGTCTCAATGCTTGCAAACATGTTCAGTTTAATGAGTTTTGGACACCCTATAGAATTTCTGTTTTGATAATTGAAATGGGTGATTTTTCAGGGTACAAAGCCTTAAGAGTCGCAGACAATACGGCGGATGCTTACTTGCACAGCACGGCGATCAAAAAGTGGGATATTTGCGCTGGAAATGCTATTCTGAGCGCTTTGGGCGGAAAAATGACTACCAAACACGGACAAACACTGACGTATTACAACGACACTAATGTGATCAATAAAGAGGGCTTAGTGGCAACGCTACGAAACCATGAAGCGTTTATAGATAAGCTGTAAAATAAAATATATGGAGTTTATATAGATTTTTATGGGTTTTCAACTTCACTTTCTCTTACATTCCTCTATTCAAAAGGCTTCGCAGTATACATTTATGGTGGTCAAAGTTGGAAAGAAAGACAAAGTGTTTTTCACATAAAATCAACGTTAAAAGCCACTGAAAGTACCCGGTTCTTACATGGGGCTTTGCATATACACATTTGCTCAGAAAAACCTGCATTGCTGCAATGACCAACGGTTGGGGCACTTTGCGACACTTTTTTCTACACATTTCATGCTAAAAACACTAATTTTCTCCGCAACTGACATTTCGGTGTCACTCGACAGTCATCGGATGCGCCGATAACAGTCGATTTGGGCCCGAGTGCGCCGAGCGCAGTTGATTTGTTTGAAATAGTGTTGCCGTCTCCGTCAAATACGCACGCATTAAGCAGAAGTGACAAGTGACAAGTTGTCTTCCAGTAACTGTGACTGTTTGAATTTATGACGTTAGTGTTTAAGTTCTGTATAGTGTTGAAAGTGTTAGCGAATGAGCACTAGCAAGACTTTTGTGCCCTGATAATGAGGTGCGCTCGAAGTTGATTACATTTGAAATCAGCCATCAGCCAGTTATTAGGGTTTTTCTTCACTAGTCAAATTATTGGACGCCTCACACTACGGACAACTGAAGGAAACCTCAGACTCACATATCCAGACAAAACTGTATGAGCCAAGGAGTAAAATAAAACTCTTTCCAGTTTGCGTGCGCAAATCCAGGCTTGCCAGGACATCAATACAAACTTCGCAAGTTAGTTATAGAATGCGCAGTTATCGCAGCTAAGAGAATTTGGTTATATTTCCGGTTTTTATCATTTAAAAATAGCACACCTGAAAAAACCAAATCACTAAACCCGCTGGTTTATCGGCTGTAAAATGACGGCCCAGACGAGCTTAAGAGCAGTCCTATCGGCGACTTTTGTGGGTCTACTACTGGCTGCCACCACCGTTTTATCCTTGTATCATGTGCTGACGAACAAGGGCGAACGCGCCAGTTTGGGATGGTTTCTGGAGAACACTTCGCCACATATGTGGGCCGCTTTAGGCATCGGACTGTCCGTGTCTGTGAGCGTTGTTGGGGCTGCGGTGGGCATTCATACAGTCGGCGTTAGTATTCTGGGCGCAGGTATGTACATCTACTTTAATTCTATATACTTTCCTGACTGTGTTTCAATTCCAAATCAAATTTATTCCAGGGTTTCAGTCATTTATTGTCTCTATTTATCAATCAAAATACGTTTCGGTGCATTTTTCCACCATCATCAGTTTTTATGTGTAGCGTTGTTGC